TGCAAGACTGAATTTCTAGAATTGTCGAAATAGATTTTTTTTAATTTTTGAAGTTGTTACTTTAGTTTTTGTTTAGCACGCTTTAGCGACCTATGCCAGCTATCTAAAATATTACAAAAAGCTTGATTCGTTTTCAGATTGATAGGACCACCAAATTGGTATTCAATTTCATATTGACTAAACGCGCGGCAATTGATTAAGCCGTCCGGATGAACCTGTGGTTAATTGTAATGAGGGGATTGTTATTAGCGCTATCTGCGATATTTCATGGCCACTTATGTTATTTAACTAGAACAGAATCTACTGTGTAATGTCTATTGCTTATCGGCGGCATTATCAGCAAACACGGCCTGACTTACCTGATATACCTTCAAACACAACTTGAAATTAACTTCAAGTAAAACTTCGAATAACTAACGACCTTTGCAGTGGATTTCTGCACCCCTAAAGCACGCCACATAATCAAATTTCGAATATAATCAGAATCAAAGAATAAATTGAGGAAAATTTTTATAAACTTGATAACTGATATCGTATATAGAATGCACACGCGCCTAAGATCTCCTAGGTTTCGGGTCCAACCCATATAAAAAACGATGCCCTGTTTTTCGAATACAAAGCTAAGCTATCTAAATGGACAATATTATTTAAATTCTACTATCAATAATTTATGTATCTGTGCACTATTAATGAATAGGTGTACCAATCAGGCCGGCGGTACACTGCGGTCGATTCACCATATCCTATGGGTAACGAATCGTCAAACATTACAGGTATCTTTATTATTATCCCAATGCTCATGGCATGCCTCTCATCAGAACATTCACGTTACTCACGACAAACGTAATAACCTTGTTTCCCGCAAAAATGCTTAGGAGATGGTGATTGTAGACGTTAACCAGCCCAGCTAACGAACGCTATTGAATCGAAGCGCTGCCGACGACAAGTTCCTGCATGACTTCGCACAACGATTGGAGCTTCAGGACTAGGATAGCCCCGAGGCATTGCAACGGTAACAGATATTCAAATATTAGTATTCGAAAAGTTCGAACACCGATGGAATAATCGCCATGCCGTAATGTACTTAACCGCATCGGACACATATGTTAGTTCTTAAATGGTTCCTGATTACACGGGATACAAGGATCATGTACGATTCCTGGAGAAAGCTGGTTAAACCACTGTGCTAGCACAAATCGGCTTCGTATTTTGCCCCTAGGTCAAACGGATTCCAGAAACTACTATAGTACCACGACTCTTTGAATCTATATAATCGTTGCCTTGATGCGCACTACTTATTCGGTAATAATTCCAAGATATTTTGATTTTGAAGTATATGTCCAACTGCAAGAAGACGAATTTTGCAAAATTAAACCTTACCGTGACGGAACTTATCAGGTATAGCCAGCTGAAGAGATTCAGTAAAGACCATTTGCCGTTCTGTTAGACATGGTGGGTTTCTTTACGTTTGCACTATGTATTGTTAGGCCAAAGGTTACTTGAGCACAAATGTTGCTACGCAAAATTCTATACCACCATGTTCGTCGGAGCCTCTTCTATCATGCAATATGCATTTGATCAATTAATTAAATTAAGTGGACAAGAGATAGAGGCATAGGAACCATTAATGATTTGAGATTTAGAGAGAAGAGCTGTGACTATGACTCGAACAGTCGCTGTCCTGTAATGATTCACTGCTTAGTTGGTAAGGCTAGTGGTTCATTTACCATAAGTACCGATGAGCGGCTCGAATAGTGGCACGATTTGTACATATTTTGTTAAAAAAAATAATAGGAAATTGCAATCATTGCCTAAGGTCAATTTTGCCTCAGTGAAGTCTTCATAGGAATTTCTGTGCAACTCGTGATTGGTGGATCATGGTTCTCGTACAAATAATAACTTTGGTTGATGCTCGTAATTTTCCGGAATGTAAAGCATAAAGTCTCAGAAATACGTTTCAGTTTTTTCACATGTGGCACATTTTCGATGACAATCACGTAACACAACCAGCGCAAAGATTGATGCTTTAGTCCAACTTATATATATATATAATTTGGATAGAGGTGAGGCTGGACAGAGTAAAAAAAGTGTTCTTATAATATCAGGTCGTTATATTGAAAACACAGCAAAACCACTTAGTTGACTAATTATTATTCCTTATTTTTCCTAGACGGTAACCAGTACGTACTCTGTACGTTACTTTATGTTGCCTCAGATCACCTTAAGGCCTGGGCATGAATTTTAAATAAAAATATTGATAGCTCTAACGCTGCAACTGAGATTTTTTTCGAAGATCTCTTTTTCATTTACCCCGCCCTTGTTAGTCGTTCTAGCCATCGCCCTATTACGTTCGAAACTCGCCCTGTTGTCAAAGAATCTAGTAGATTTATTCTTGCTTGCCACTTACCTCACTAGAAAAGGCTGAACGTATAAACCAGTGATTAGTCATGGGTATCAGGCGCGAAATTGAAACTGTTTATCTGGTTTACCTTCAAAAAATTCGGCCACTCATTTCAGTAATATAATCCGTAGAGAAATTTACAAACATGCAAACAGTATGTCGATTGGATAACTTTGTACAAATGTGTACAATAATTGACGATATTGTAACGGGCTAGTAATTATCGTGAAGAAGGTCTTGCGGAGTGTAACCTCTTTTTATCATGACCTTCACAAGAACTTGAGAGTTCAAACTGCAACTTCATCAATAGACGGGTGAAAAAGTTCATACTGTATTGAACCCTTGAGTTGCTACTACTGTTTGAGATAATTTACGATTTTTATTTTTAAAAACACTCGGCTGGCACCGATTTCTACTAGCTTTGCATCCACGTACCGTGATATAATTCACTGCATGAACCGAATCGGCTCAGAACGTGAAAAGGGATTCATTATACGCTGTTTTGGTCTATAAACTATCCCAACTTAAACCTAATGCAGAACGATTAATCTTACACGACTATTTAGTATTTTCAATGCACTATAATAGTGCACTGCAAACAAACCAATATACAATATAATAACAAACAACAAATAAAAAAATAACATATAAAATTAGAAAGTAAACGAGCAGATGCAAAGGGAAAACTATTACTTGAAAATAAGAAAAAGTCTTGATACTTTCGCTCACTACAAAAGCCAGACCCTAATCATATCCCCTAAATATAATCTTTAGCTTGAACGAGTTGAAGATCAGTGGCAAGGTTCAATAAAAATTTCGCAATAACAGAGCACAAGGCAAACGATACTAAATAGCAGAACACATAACTGCTCTGTGACACTATAAGTAATCTACGAGCGCCCAAGCAAATGGAGCGAATGATCGGAAGCGCCCCCAACAAAAAGGCAACATTTTTTCAACCCGCCAAAATACAAAATTAGGCGGGTAGAAATTGTTCTTCTGTTGCCCTTCAACATCTGTCTTACTAAAAGGTTCACGACAGCGTAGTTACAACATCTCACGCAATCATCTCTATAAAAATAGTGGAACAGTCGATTTGTCTAGCTCTGTTAGACAGAGAATAATGAAAAGGATATTGTATTGTTATGTCGGTCCAAGCGTGTTACTTCACACCTACCGTCAACCTGTAAGAAAAGCTGCTGTACAAGATGCTACCATACCAATTACCATACGAGCTCAGCTATATCGACCTGTTAAGAATGCAATTAGACCTTCTGTCGGTCTCACAGTGTTTGCTTCGAAGTCTTTCCTATTACAATTGGTGTTCGATTCCCCGATCGTCAGACTCATTGTTATTTCTGCAGCATTGATCATGTTATCATTCTGTACTGGAAAGCCAACAGCAAAGAAGAAAAACCGCTTTACTTATTCTCTGCGAATTTATGACTGGAGAACCGAGCAGTTTATTTTGCTACGCACTTACTCATTGAGATGTTTATAATTTTTTCTTATTTTTTGCATTTTTTTAATGGTGTCTACGCCCCGCCCAATTCTGAACCCAGGCCATCTAATGTGTCTCTCGAGATGTAAGATATCGATTTACATTTTGCTATAGAGTCGGCCTATATCTGCGTTGTATTTATATAGATATATTTTATATGTACCTATACCTGTAGCTAAATTTTTGACTCATTTGAATCTGTGTGTGACAGTCGAAATGGAGGTCAACGTTGCACACCCGAACCGGCTTTACAGTTGTTAAGAAACACAAAGCATTCTGTGCAAAATGCATGGCGTTAACTTACATTGAAAAGTATTTGATCATTTTTCCACCCATAAATGCGACCCTTGACAAACTCAATACTATAGGCCGTTTCAGAAAAACAAATTTGTACTAAATTAATTAATATACCGTAGCAATAATAATTAGAGCTGTTTCAACCGGCGCATTAAAGATTGTACATCGACAATGCGTGGCTTTGTACTTGAAATCGGCGACAAATGTAACCGGGCTGCTGTGTCGTCCAGAGTGGCAACAGAATCCGTAGCCATTTTTTTTCTTTTCGCTTTTCAAGCAAAATGTGTACCAAAAAACATGGCAGCGTTTGACTGACCTCGACAAAACCGATGCTCTACATACTGTAAATTATAGTTACGCCACCAAACGTAGTCCATAACAGTACGGATATTCCAATGCACAAAAACAACAGGACTGATCATTTATATAAGCTTTTCGATGGGTTTGTCTGCGTGTCCTGTACAATGCAAGCAATAAAATAAAGACGGGTTTACTGCCATGCTAAGCCGGAGAGTTTGCGCGGGACGTTAATATCATTAAGTCATATATGCTTCTTAAGCAACGAATAGTAGAGGTTTGGTTGGGCTGGAACCCAAGTGCTACAACGCCTAATAGGAGTTATTGCGGTTAGCTATATATGGCAATAACTGTCCCATTTTAATCAGTACTAGTTAAACACCCAAGATTCTCCCTGACGCGTTTTATTTCATTTCGTTATTATTAGAAATAATCATTCATTTGTTTGTCAAGTGGAAGCGTTTTTTCGGCAATTATTCGTAAATGTTTTTTTTTTTTTTATAGGTGTTCGGTAGGTGGGCGGAAAGAAACATGGAAAAACAACTCAGGTTGATCTTGAGAAGATTTAGTGAAGGGCTGAAGTGTATCAGATATGTGATGATTAGTTGGGGAGTGACTACGAGAAACGGCACTAAGAAAATGAGGACTAGCAGCTATCGGCATATATGATATATATATTGAGAGAAGAAGGATTTCATCCACATCGAGATGTAACGGTAATACCATTCTGCGGCGGTGAAATACGGGATTAAGTCGAATTCGGATATGCAGTTGTATAGCGTATCAGCGATTCTGCACGAAACAGAACAACGACGAATGGCGTAGAACGTGGCCGATTTTGCTATAGGTTGTTGTGGCATACATGGAGATAGTAACGTGGGCCGAAACCTGCAACATGACACACAAACTTACCTAGACCTGCTATTCAAGTTGCGAAAAGTCAGTCGTGTCAACGCCGGTACAATAGTAGAGCAGGAACGCGATGGCGGCAGGTATTTGCGAGTGGTCGCTGGACAACTCCAAAAGGAAAAAATTAAGGATTATTTTAAAACCGAAATGCAATCGAATTGCAAAGGATGCTGCCGCGACCTTCCATGTGATCTACTACAGACATATTGTGAATGGGAAAAGGACAGGTTTGTAGCGTGGTTCGGACAGGGCCGCTGCTGTATGATGTCATCTGTGGTACATCTGTAGTACCACACGTAAAAGCAGAAATATTTTTAAGAGCAAAAACAATAGTGGAGACACAGTACACGGCCAGCATAGATGATCCGCAGAAAAATGTTTATAAAGTCTATGGTTTATTTAACATATAACTCAGTTGTGATCGCTATTGTTATGTCACATACATATTTCAGCCTATGTTGAACTCATATATCGTAGATCTGAACTCTATATCCTACAAATAGAATTTACAAAATAACAGTGGTATCCCGGTAAAAATATCTAGTCAGTAATTATTGCTGTTAATCTTTCAGAGAAATAGTTTTCAGAAAGGAAACAGGAATTAGGTTGTTACGATATTTAGCAACAACAATAGGGCGTCTTTTCTAATTGATCACTGGGCTGAAAAGGCTAAAGGGTCTCCATTGATCTCATCAGTAATTGATGCCTAACTTTCATGTTTAACTTCAGCATCATTATTATAAACATCAATAAAGTCATTAGTAACTTGAAAAAGCGACTCTTTAATCATGGCACCTATTTATTTTCAGTTCAAAATAACAATTGCAATAACAAGATTTTACTCCACTGAGTAGCAGTACAGTGTTTCCTAAAATGTTCAGACTCATTAAAAGAAACCTTGAAAATAGTACATGATACATTTTATACACGATAAAATTAATTGCCTCTAAAATTGGGCTTGTACGATTTGATCCGATAATGTCCACACGAAATTTGTAAATATTATTTTCGTTTAACCACAATTGATAGATACAATCGTGATTTACTACAGCGTATTTTAAACACAGCCTTCGTTATACGCTGACTTAGAAACCAAACGTATATCGTCAGTAACAGGACATATTTTACATTAGGACATACCTTAGAATGATTGTATCTCCCGTATTTACCATCACTATGCTACTCGACAGGGATATATATCTAGGTTAACAAATAGCGCACAATCGTTGTTCGACCGAGTTTTCAGCCAATGAACTTTTGTGTACTTTGTTATTGAACTGCGTGACAAGTTTAAAGTTATTTTGTGTATTTGTCTTGACTGTTTTGTGATCACTCATCGCTTCTTCGCCCTAAGTTAGCTTTTAGCTACAATCCTTAAACCGGCCATACATATCAGCAAGGTATAATCATTTCGCTTTCGCTGCTGGCTCAGTAATATCGTCCCATAGCATTATATCACAAAGGCGCGAATGCCTTTGAAAAAATTACGAAATATGTAAAAATACTACCGTGGTTTGCATCAATTGGGTGAACACATATATAGCCTACTTAGGTTGTTGCTAATGGTCACCGGAACAGTGGTACAATGGGACTTAATATTTTAACAATATAGCTGTTTCTCTTAAGAACCACTTGTGCCAATCAATTCTGCTATCGTATCTTTGCCCGCTGAACTTTTCTCAGGTCTTCGTTCTTCATTTTCCGGCTGTATATTGTGTATACCTGGTTTGCATCGCATTTCGCAGATTTACTTTCTGGATCTCGATGATATTTTTCATGCAGCCGTCGTTTTTAGTTCGCGTTGCCAGAATTTAACCAATTCAAACCCATCACTTCCATCATTTTCGGCTGAGGTTGTTTTTTGGCCTAGAAGGCACCTCACCATTCAACTAATGATACAAATGGCTTTCACTAAGCAGAATATGTACGCTTTGGTGACCTGGAAAAAACTTTACACGGATATATGGGATTGACAACGCTATCCACTTAGAATAAGATGTAGAATCAAACTTTACCTTTTTTTTTTTGTCTAGATAGAAGGGAAATAGTAATTAGATCAAAACCAATTGATGGTTGATAAATGTTTCAGTGTTTTGGAACACATCCACTGTTAAAATAACTGATGTCGAGATCGATATGCGTATTTATTCCAGGCGAATTATCAACGAACAACGTCGTGAGGTTGTGACGACTCTTCAAGGCAAATAGTCTGCAGTACTTTCTTCAGAGTTGAGGCACAACACTGAAAGCAAACCATGTTCAGTTCTAAACTGAAGTTATATTTTGAGTAAACTGAAAACACTTCGTCACTATGTTTATTCTTAGAGAAGGAAAAATATAGTGTCGTAAAAATGTGTGCCGATCTCTTCACTGGCACCTACAGCAAACCAAATACAATATCCACTGTTACTAGCGAAAGCTATACTTAGAAAACTAAGTAGAGAAAGTTCGTATCTACGTTTGAGCCAATTGAAGCGTACGTGAAACTTGCAGATCGTGAGCAAAACGTAAGTAGCGTTTTCAGATATAAAGAGCTCTGCTTTAGGATATGGCAGCACTGACAATTTTTTAAAAAACAACCGGTCCAAAAAGTGGCAACATACCTAGACGGGATGCTTGCTTACGGTTCTACAATTAAAGATGGTAGAGTATCTTAAAACTGAGGTACAAACTTCAGGATTCCTTGTCTCAGTTACCTCGAGAAAAAACCGCATCCTTATAATATTAATTTCTCTAGATGCCAACTTTTTCGAATTAAGATATCTGTTAGGCATGCCTATCTAAAATTCTGCAGTTGTTGATTAGCTTGAAAATGTCTGAAATCCTCTAGACAAACTGCTACAAAAAGATAGCTAAACGAGTCCCATAAGCAAATACCTTTAATATCAGGTTAAATGAGTTTGCAGTAATCCTAAACTACCTACCATAGTTGCTGCTAATGCTGGCCGCCACCGTTTAGGGCGATAATCTACATGAATACGTGAACGGCAGCAAGAAGCGTGTGCATTATGCAAGGGATTGCTAATGAAACACACAGAATTACACTCAAGTAAAAAAAGAAGCTTCTGCTCTTGTGTTTGCATGACAAAGGTTCAGGTCGTATATTTATGGTAGAAAATGTACCTTACACATTGATAACAAACCTGTACCAACTATACTTGATAATAGAATGGGAATTCCCATTGCACACGGCAAACAAACGTCGGTCATACAACTCTTGGGTTACGATTTACGCGATACGATTCGAGCGAATTAGTAAATCGGAAATGTTGATGCACCTCCAGACTGAAATAGAAGCTGAAAATAAGGTTATAGCCAAAGTCGAACATGATCTCCATAGCAGTTTTCTAGAAACGACCGGTAGTACCGTATACTATCGAAAGTTACTACACTTCAAGAAGGATCAATACTAATCAAGTGCGACAAGTGGGTCTCATCTCATATATGACGACTGACAACCCCTTTTCGCTGTTCAAAACCATGTAGGCCTTTTTAGGACAAAACAAGCACCCTTAACATATATGTTGCTTATGACTCGATTAAAGAATAAAATATTTGATTCATTCGTACTTAGTGTGTGTGGACGAAGCCATGAATTCCACAAAAATGCCCACCGATATATGTACGTACGTGTCGATTGTCCTAGATGCATTGGTCTGAAATTGGGATGAAATTTCATTGGCAACTACTCGATAGTAAATGCCCCATTTTTCTGCTGCGGTAACCCACTTATTATTATTTTAGACAGCGGCTTTCAACTGACGCCATTACAATTTGTGCCTTTTTATAGAAGCAAATACGGGACGTAGCAGCACGTCCCCCCAACAGTTGAGCGGAACGCTTTCTTGATACATTTAAGCAAAGCTGTCGCAAACTGAGATAGAAGCACACTTTATTATTTCGTAAGATTTGAAATAGCTAAAAAGTCACAAGGCAAATACTTGATCGTCGCTACAGTTTCAAAGGAAAATCTTTTTATTAAGCGGGAAAGACGCACGTTAGGGTTAACATAACACAAGCTCCTGGAAACCTGGACATCTGGAGAGGATTGGTCGGCGATGTAGCTAGAATAGACAAGCAGAAAGACATTAACAAGTCGAGAAAATTCGCGATACGGTAGCCAGAGCCAGTTCCCTTCACTCTTGCTTGGATAGATTGATAGTGATAGAGGTTAAAAGGGCTAGACAAAGCAAGAGATATCTAACATCTGAAATAAAGATCCGACAGGAGTGGTCTAAGCGATAAGATTACAAATCTTTTTCCTGTTATTTCATCATGAAAACAGTGAGATAAGAAGTCGTTCCTGTAACTCAGTATCAGTTATGTTATAACGGTTATCACTATGCAGATCGCAGTTCTAATGACGAAAGTTTAATCATTGAAAGTTAGGTCCTAGTCAAGCCTATGCTGCTTAATGGGCCTTAGAATGAGCTCAGAGGTCAGTAAACGGCGCAACACATGTTTTTGCCTTATTTACGGGACTGGAATTTTTCACTTCGCTGAAGTGCCCACAAAACAATAACTACAGTTAGCTCGAATCCTTTTCTAATCCATATTTATTTTCTTACACGGCTTCCAGTAGATTTTACACTGCACGACATTGAAACTTATATTGTTCTTTACGCCGTGATACATCTGCATACAATAGACTTTGCCAGAAAGTATAATACAAATTGCTTGTTCATCACAAACCTGTTGTTTGAGCCATGCTTAACTTCTCGCCAAAAAGAAAAGGACGAAGTTAAAGTGGTATTATTTTTTCCCCTGATAAGGCAGAGCTTTCCAACTTTAGTTTAGTAATATTGTGTCCTGAGTAGATACATCGTTAGAATATCTTGGAGGGCCTTACCTACAAATTTGCAACGGAAGTCAAGTGGACCACACGAATCGTTGAGGTCAAAATGTTTTCCGCGCTCAAAGCTTACGCACGAAACTATATAATATAATATAATAGTTGATGTCTATTATATTAGTAAAGATCATCGATAATTCTGAAAATTAATCCAGAGCCGCATTAATTGTCGATTACGTGAAGTAAACAAAGGATTTCGGTAGCTAACTAGGGCTGTTGAGCTAAGAAACGCTGTGAGGATTTCAGCCGTTATCGGAAGAGCACGTTTTAAGAAGCTCTGCCATATATTAGATCAGTGCTATTTTTGTAGAAATAAAAGTTAAGTACACTTTAATTAATTGGAAGTTACACCTTAAGACGTGTTCCCTTTGAACAGGTTAACAACGCTACTCCTGGCAGGGGAACTAGCTGATGTTTGCTTATTTCGATAGATAGCTCATAGTCGACTAGGTACTTATGAAAATTGTGGAGCTGATGTTGTTCCAAGGGCGTTATTATCGTTGGTAGGACAATACGAGTATATTTTTCGCGACAGATTAGATGCCTGCTTTTAATGAATTACAAATAAAATGACAACGACGGTCAGTATAATAGACCAATAAAGACATGCATATGATAATCATAACTTATTCTGTTCGAATAGTTGCCCATTTTTAATAAAGATATTATTTTTTTTTTATATATCTAATGCGATTGTATTCATCAACGCTTGAACAAATCGGTAAAAGATTATATTGATTTAGGGTTTTGGTCAGTTCGTTCATTTGTACAAGGCTGCACGTGTATCTGGTTTATTGTGTACCGTGAGATTAAAAAACCACACTACATAA